AGCTTGGGATTTTCCCCTTCTTTTCTTGATAAGCAACAAGATTTGGGGCTTAGAATCTTCCCTCTCAACCCAGGAAAAAAAAATCCCAGATCTGCTCTCTTCCTTCTGCCGCGAGCCCCCGTTACCACCACCCATTTCCGGCCGGGAACACCGGTAAAGCTTGGGGATTTCTCCCTATTTTCTTGTTCTAGAACAGCTATTAAACCCAGAATTTCCAGATCTGTTTGCTCTGCGTCTTCCTCCCTTTGCTGTCCGCCAATTGCCAATGGGTGGGTGGCGAAATTTTCGGGTTATTTGGTAAGATTCAGCCAAGAAATCATTCCTTTAGCTTTAATTCAAGTTGGGTTTACTTTAATTGCTTGTATTTCCCTCAATTTTGAGGTTGGCCATGAGCTTCTTCTCCAAATCCGTCCGCTTCCATGTTCGCCGGAACCGGCCTTTGCTTGCCGGAAAATTCTGGTAAGTTGCCGGTTCTTCCAAGTCTAATTTATCCATGTAATTGTTGCCTTGTGTTGAGTGGATTTTCTGCTTTTGAATTGCCCTTTTTGCTATCCGAAAATGGAAGAAATTTAGGTGAAATTGTGCTGGAAGGTGGAATGAATTTGGTAGCCTTTTTGACATGTTTTTAGCTTAATTTATGTAGGATTAGTTGATTTGGGCTGTTGCGATTCTTGGAGAAAAATCCCGTGATTTGCTATTGTTTTGCTAAATAGGATTAAATGAAATAAAGTCCTATTCCCCTATTTTGTTCTGTCCGTGGGAGTAGAATAAATTATGTATGAATGTGTATATAAATATATATATATATACACAATTTGGGTAATGAAAATAAATAAAATAAAAGTAATAAATATTGCATTTTGGGAATTGGTCGAGAACAATAGAAAAAGGAGTATGTAGTGTTATATGGATATTAATTTTTGGATGTTTTGAATTAGGTTCCTGATCGTTCTGTCAATTCAGTACTGAGATGAGCCTTTGGTTTTAAGCGAGTGAGGTAAGTAAATTTATGGTAATGTCTGTACTGTTTTTAAAAGCATGTTTTGATTTGTTTTTGAAGTGGTGGCGGGACTAAACCCGTTTTATACAAGTATGACTGATTTGAAGTGAAATTTTATGCTTTTCATTAAATTGAGCATGCCTATTTGGAATTTAATTGATTGTCCTGATGATCTGAAAGTGATTGGTGAATTATGTTTTTCTGTTAACTTCAGCCTGTTTTGTCTCCGATGTGATCATGTTTCTGTAATCCTGCTAGTGGGGGTTAAACGCTAGCACATGTCGGCACATGTTGATATGTTATTGATGATACGTTATTGATGATACTGCTAGTGGGGGTTAAACGCTAGCACATGTCGGCACATGTCAATATGTTATTGATGATCCTGCTAGTGAGGGTTAAACGCTAGCACATGTCGGCATATGTCGATATGTTATTGATAGAACCGGTTCGTTTTTGTAACCCTGCTAGTGGGGGTTATACACTAATAATTTTTGTAGTCTGCCAATGGGAGGTTTAAACACTGGCCATGACCTATAGAGGAGATGTCTATTTCGTTCTAGCACTGTATCTGTTTTTCATGATTGCACTTGTTGGCATGCTATAAGTTAAATAAAGGCACTCCATATTTTACTTATTGAGTTTATCTTATAGTTTTCCCTTGTCCACCATTTCAGGTAGTATGACCTAAGACATGGAAATCAAGGGGAGTGACGAGCTAATTGGCTAGTTATTGCATTTGGATATAGATTTTGAGTTTAGATTGTCCTTGTAAGTTAGATTCATTATTTTGAGTTTAAGTCATGTTGGACATAGATTTATGGAATATATTATCATTTTTGGAAGATAGATTGTACCTTGAATTTTATGGTATTAAAACAAATTTTGCGAGAGTAGAGTTTGTGATTTGGATAAGTTCCGAGCCTTGTGCATTTGTGAGATCCTCTCACGAGTGCACGACATTTGTTACGCCTCAGTTTGGGTTTTGGGGCGTGATAGTTTCCATGCCTCACTACTTGCAGGATGAATAACTTTATTGGTATCCTCATAGCATTTCAAATGCCATGTCATGTGTTCTACTATTTTCCTAGACATGTATAGTCGCTGCAATCTTGGGGTAATTGGAAGGTATTATAAAGATTTTCTTGGAACATCTTTCTGTTTTATAACAGACATATTCTTCGGCTCATAACGGGATTCTCCACACACTGGACAAGCAGTTAAATTCTTACTTTGCTCATCATAGTATAAGAAGCAATTATTGACACAAATATCAATTTTCTTGTACCCAAGTCCAAGCACAATTATCATTTTTTTGGCACTATAGAAATCCTTTGGCACCTTTTCTTGGTCCTTTGGACTCAACAACTTTTGACTCAATGAAAATGTCATTTCCCAATTAGCAGCATTCATATTATAAAGAGTTTTCATGTTTAGCATTTCTGTCATCCATGAAAATACTGTAACATCTTGTCCCCCAGCACCTATATGAATTTCTGCAGCATGCAAGAGATCATAAAATTCTCTTGCCTTACTATTTGGCTCCTCAGCCATTGGTCCCTCATTGTATTCAGACTGTGCATCCATTGCATCAACTACCATTTCATGGTACAATGCATCTATTTCATTTCTAACAAGTTCCATATTGCTAGATGTCCCTCCATGAACATACCATGTATAATAGTTATTCATAAACCCATGCTTACACAAATGCATAGAGACAACCTCAGGATTCTCCCATTTTTTACATTTACATTTCGAACAAGGACACTTAATCTCTGATTTTGCTTTCGGTCTTGAAAATGCAAATCTCACAA